TCTCACCGAGATATTGGGGAATTCATTGGGTGGATAATGAAACCCTAGCCCTGAAAAACCAAATGAGAAGCTGGGTGCGTGAAGGCGTTGAACACAACCAGGATCTGCTCCAGCTACCATGTCTATATTATGCACGGAAGTGCGCCCACCCGGCATGCCGGCCGAGTCTCGGCGTTCTTTACTCGATAGCAATTGAAAATGAGTGCGGCTCCAGTCGTCTCAGAAGAGAAAGCTGCTGGTAGCATGCAGGATGTGTTGTTGTGTAACACTTATGTTTGTTAGGGTCCTGTGCGTTAATTTGGGAGTATAAATTTATGCCGTTCTTGTGACTTACACAAAACATACTAAACGATTACGATAGAAGTAATTCGTGCAGTATTATTCAAGTGCCCGATTTAGCGGTTTCCTAGTTGCTCCTTCTTGGCCCATGCGTCTGTCTGTAGAGTTCAAGTCCTTTGCCTCTGACAAGGTACATAGGTAGATCGGTTGATCAGATCATAATAGATTATGTGGGTATATATATATCGACGCTCCAATATGGCAAGTGCTCATGCCATAGTCTTCGACTGCACGCAAAGTTTTGTACCTCGAATTAATAAACTACTTGATATAAAAATAAAAAAAAAAATATGGCAAGTGCTCGAATGAAGCTGTATGCTTTCAAAGAGCTCAGAATTGACCTTGCCTTTCATGGATTGCAAGTATAATAAAGCCTCGCCTTGAGGGATGTGTATTTGCTCTAGTACTAGGCCGATTTTTCATTTATATAGTAGCCTAAGTCACCGGACTGACATAAGTATGTACATACATATGTATTGTCATCATTGATCGCGTTGTAATTTGCACAATGCATACATGTATGTATAGACAAAGAACATATAGACTGCTGTATGAAAAAATGCAAAGGGACACGAGACCCCATATATTTCAGCCTTCTAGTAACTAGTGTTTGATTAATGATAAATTGATTCCCGATATTTATTCAACTAGGAGGCCATATTGATCTTTGTGAAAGATGATTGGATGTAAAATCCTTTATGTGTATCCTGATAGTCATCATCGGCATTTAGTTCCTACAAAGAGTTGCGGCCTTCTCGATATGGTCTGTAGTGATGAGATAAGTACCGGTTAGAGATTATACTGTGCTATAGTTGATCATACACATGCAACGGCTATGGCAAAGATCTCCACCGGTAATACTAAACTCAGTGTTTATATGTGGTTCAGTAACTCGGATGGTAGGTATCTCTAGCTTGGCGGTACATCACATTGACAACCCCAGTCATTTTCCTCCGAAGGCGCAGCCAACAGTAACTCTAGATCCCTCAAGTAAGCCATCTTTCCGCCCAACTTCCTATTTGGACAGCTGAGAAAGGATTCCATTGGGTCACCAGTGATACTCCCCTTAACCCCCACTAGACTTCCCCGCTCCCGGCAGTGGGTGGTTAAGCTTCTGCAAGGGCAGGACACCCATCTGCAATCCTGTGGGAAATGTTGGAAAGGAATAATCGAGATTGAGTGTGTATGTGACGCAATAAAGCACCTAACAAGGATCATATTCTTAAGAAAAACAATAGTATCTGGCCGACGTTGAAATGCGGGGAAATTTTGGTTCCTGAAAGTGTCATATCTAGGTTTCCGCGGTTAGAGGAGGATTATCAGGCTACTTCCATCTGAAAATTTCATTCTTAGGTGGTGGTATAAGAAGCGCATACCTAAAATAGGATTGTTTAATGTCCCATGCTGATTATTTCAACTCTCGAGCCTTGAGAAGCTGATGAGGTCCATATTATCCATAACCTGCTTTATTTATTCTGTTGAGGGTCCTAATCCCTAAGAGGACTGAACATCGTTAATCTAGCAGATTTAGGTTCATGTATGTTATCGTGATTATCCTTTGATGTAATTTCTCCTACGTAAGAAGTACCACTATTCAATTTTCTTAATCTCGCGGAGCGGATGTATAGTACTTTTAATGCAGACACTGCCAGGATGAGCTCGTAGATGTAGACCTCGGGCACTGAAACCTTCACCGTCCTTCGGATAAGACTCTGGCCTAAGTTATTTTAAGCATCCGTGTTATCCCGCTTTAGAGGGCCAATGATAATATAGAAGGATTTTAGCATCCATCAGGCTGTGTGCTATCGTCATTTATCAATCGATAAAAACCTCTTTGAACGAGCCGTTCAATATAAAGATCTTATCTAGAAAGAATATTATTCAGGGTGCATATTCTTTAGAGTATGACTTAGGCCCACTGAGGTTAGTTCTTTGGTTTAAGGATATATATTCATCCGAGCACTACCAAAGGTTGGCTGAAATAACCAATGAAACAGGGTATGAGGATACGGATATAAATATATATTCATCTTTCGGTCTCTGTACGCACGAACCACTAACTGAATCCTACTAATCATGCTTCATGGGTAAATTTTGGCGGGTGGGTAATCCACGACTTCTAAGAGGCTGCTTGATTTTTGATCAAGTCCGGATCTACCGCGAGATATGTAGAGTAGTTAATTTGAATCAGCTCGCCTCAACCATGAAAATCAAATCCGAGGATTAGAAACAAAAAAATAGGTACCTTCTAAATTTGAAGTAAGGCAGATACCATGTAACTACCAGCTCCAGTGACAAATTGTTATCTAGGTCGTCTTCTCCTTAAATTCCACCCTTCCTCATGAATTTCGGTTGGATTTGAAGAGCTCAAAACTTGAATAGAAAGAATTTATTACGCCCTGTGACGTATGATAATGATGATGGCTGCCAGTGTGGGTATGTACCCATCTCATCGCATCTCATATGGCCCCGGTGTTTATGTTGTGATACTAGCTGAGGTTAGTGGCTTCGCTTTCACATGCACTGCCAAGACTTAAATACTGGGGACTTTAAACTCGGCTTTCTGCCACAAGGCAAGCTCGACGACAAAAAGAAACAAGCAACCCCGGTGCCCCGGATAAAAGCTGCATATTCAACAAAAGCAAAGGATTGTGGGTACATACTGACGGAGAAACAAAACGAAATAGGCAATGTGCTACATAGCCGCGGTCTCGAACCGTGGTTATCTGGTCAGGTACGAGTACTTTAAACCGGCCATGAGCTGCCTAGACAATCTTCAATGAGAGATGATTGACAGGAGGAGTCCTTGAAGTGAGGCAAAAAAAGCTCTAGCCAATGGAGGGCACTGGTGGGGAATACGTTTCAAGGAATTCGTGGGAATGAGAAGGACCAGGTTCTGGGAAGGGCAGCGAATGAGGGTTGGCCGTGCCAGTAGGAGCTCTACGCAGGGTTCAGAAGTTTAAGGTCTTTGGTTTCTTGTGCAACACCATGACGGCTCTCTCTCCAGGTGTCTTGAATGACGTTTAAGTGGGTGTGAGGCGAACACAAACGTGGGGGTTTGGAGAACCCCCCCACTGAAGAAGGCTCAAAGAGAAAAAAAATATCTCAAACGGTGGATGAACTCTATGAACACCTTCCAAATGTACGATCCATCGAAGAAGCTTATCACGATGGAAGGAAAATTTCGGTCTCGAAGACTTCTACAACATAACGCATTAAGTATATCGAGATCCCGCAACTTGATGGATTTGAGGATAGAGGAATTGCTCCCCTGTTCGACAGCCGGGAATACCGAGTTGTCGGGATGGCCTAACTTGTTCCAGAAAAATAGTCCTCCACATCTCGCCGGACGTTTGGTGGTTAACCGCAAAGAAGTGCGGCTGGGTCTTGAAACCTCGAATGGACTTTTTTTTTTTGAAATCTTAGACCATCCCGAAATCTCGGTAATATCGGAGAGACCACCTCGCCTTCCGATTTCCTAGGTCCCTTAAAGGATTGGATAGAGCTCGCGAAGAAAGCGCACTTTGTCGTAGAGGGAAGTCGAGACTCGAAGGGAACGGGACTAACGGTCGCCAATGCAATTTACACTGGACATGGACACTTCAAAGGAGGCAGTGGTACCTTTGAGCGCATAGTAGTCAATATTACAAACCTACCCACATGACCATGAGGCTGGTTGCTTGGTCCAGAAGGTGAGAATAGGGGACGAAGATCTCACTTGTCGAGAAATTAAAGCCCATATCAACGATAGGTGCCTAGATAACTACGCATGAAACGGTCCAATCTTAGGACCCAACAGTAAGAATACCTAAGTTGACACATTGTGGGAGTGAGGCTCTCCCGGAGAGAGGGAAGTGGGAGAACGTCTGGATCATCAATCAGGCTGGCGAATGAGGATTTAAAGAACCCTTACGTAACTGCTCAAGCACCACACCTGCCTTTCTGAGCGATAAGCGTTTCTTATCACTGGACCGTTGAAGCGATGGGTGGAAATCTCGGCGAATTCTGAGAGAGAACACACCTATGCATATATGTACCTACGAAGAAAGAAGAGACGAAGGAGAGGAGGCTAGACGTAGGAAGTCAAAATAGACGAGTGCTTGAGAGGGGTGGAAGACGAACAATCCCTTCCTTGAAAGACATCACATTGCCCATTTGACGAAGACCTCAGCTCCAGAATCTCAGAGGCAACAAAATTTCCATCGTTTACTCAATCAGATGCCCTCTCCCTGACCCGAATCGATCTCACAGCAAAAAAGAAAGAAAGTAGGACGAAAAAGAAACACCACGATTTCACTAGGACCTCAACTCACGAAGAGAGAAGGGTTCCAAGACGACAACGATTGTCCAGCTGTCTGACCGAGTCCCCTGCAAAGGCACGGTGATATCTAATCTGCTGACTTTGGGGCTCAGAAAGAATAGCTTCTTTCTTTTTCTTTTTCTTGTTCTTTTCCTTCTCCTCTCCTCTTGGCCGTCCATCTCTTCCACGAGACTCACCTTCTCATCCATCGTCTACTCTCTTTCATCCGATCTTGTCTAATACGGATAGGTGCTGATCTCCGCCGCTGCACTTTCCCGTATCCCCTCGAGACATCCATTCCAACGCCCTATGGAATAATAAAAATTCACCCTCCTCCAGCAACCTTTACAATACATTCGCAATGACTACCAAATCTATTTCATCGAATTCAAATGCCACTTCTGGCGTACACAAGCGCCGCCGCCGTGCAACAAATGACGATGGCGCCCATGCCCACGTAGCGACGAGCGACTCGCCACCACCTGTTCCCGCCCAGAAACCATCGCCGCCGACCACCTCCGGTGCTGGCGGGGGGTCCTCTTCGTTCAGAAACGTGAGTGCGTGTAATCGCTGCCGTCTGCGAAAGAATCGCTGTGATCAGAGACTACCGGCTTGTTTGTCCTGCGAAAAGGCTGGGGTGAAATGTGTGGGGTACGACCCGATTACTAAGAGAGAGATACCTCGAAGGTGGGTAGTATTCTTATAATAATGCCCCTGATGATCCGGGGACTTCTCTCGATTGCTCCGTATCTCTATTGCGGAATTTGCGGGAAACCCCGTGCTGAACCAACCCGGAGGTGATCTGAGCAGTTACGTGCACTACCTTGAGACCCGATCGGCGTACCTGGAGTCATTATTGACCGCGAACAACATTCCATTCTCTCCGGCGGAATCCTTTCCCGATCTTGCTCCGCCTCCTCCTCCTCTAATAACGACTACCCCCACAACAGGGACATCAACTGCCGCTCCCGAGTTTCCACCCCCACCATCTTCCCAGCAACAATCCCAGACGCCCATCGATCCGGCACTGACCAGCACCGAGATCCCTCGAATCGCCGTTCCAGAGCCGAAAGTTAAGCGCGAAAGATCGCCGCAAAACTCAGATTCATTGGAAGAAAAGAAGTTAGACAACCTGGTGTCAGATATCGGGCTTGTGTCGTTTGCTGGTGCAAGCGACCCGAGATATCTAGGCTCCGTCTCAGGCATTTCGTTCGCGAGAGTGGTGTTTGCTGCTGTAAAGAGCAGCGCAACAGGTAATAGCAATCATGATCAAAATAGCTCCGCGGCTGAAGGGGTGTCCGGAGCTAGAAGAAATAAACCTAGAATTGGCTCGACCACACGGATTCGTAGCACGAGAGGATTGGGAATCGGAGCCTCCGGGGCTTCTGGGAAAGAGGAGGACCTAGACGTGGATGATGCTGAAGACACACAGATGAGGGATTCGTTTTTCGGGCTTCACACAAAACCCACTATCACACCTGCGCCATTCCCCACAAGAGCATTGGCCCAGAGATTGATCAACCGGTATTTTGAGTATGCAAATCCTCAAATACCCATACTGCATATCGGAGAGTTTGAAGGGGTTCTGGACAGGATATACGGCACTAGAGATAAAAAGCTCAGTAGTGGTTCCAATGAAGGCGCCTATGGAGGCAGCCCCAAGGAGAAATATATGCTTAATATAGTGTGTGCTATTGGCGCGGGAATATTCCTGAAAGGGCCCGATGAAGCATCAGATGCGGAGGAATCAGAGGACGAAACGAAGGACGAAGATGGATACGAGTCACCAAAGGTGAAGGCAGAAAAGGGGAATAAAAGGAAACGGGCACAAATGCATTGCGAGCCAGAACAATACCATGCAGCAGCTGTACTCCATCTTGAAACATTCTTAAGCCAAAGCAAAGGTGGATTGGAAGAACTTCAGGCAGTTTTGTTATTGGCTGGTTATGCTCTGTTAAGACCTGTTTCCCCGGGGCTGTGGTATATTGTAGGAGTTGCTTTGCGTCTAGCGGTAGATCTTGGATTACATTACGAAGATTCGGATGCTAAGGAAGTAAAAAAGGACGGAAAGGAAGGTAGGAGGGAATGGTCGAGAGAGCTACGACGAAGACTATGGTGGTGTGTATACAGTCTTGATAGACTAGTAAGCACATGTGTTGGAAGGCCTTTCGGAATAGCGGATGAGGTCATTAGCACTAAGGTAAGCACCTCTTTCCAACTAGACTAATTGATTGGGGTGCTAATTTGGTATTATTTTTAGTTTCCCTCGATACTCGATGACCAGTATATTCATCCAACTAAAGGAATAGCTCCGCCATCGCCTAACAAAGGGTTACCATCTTACAAACTCATAGCGCATCACTACTTTCGCCTGCGTCTCTTACAGTCTGAGATACTGCAGGTTTTACAGCAGCAGTCTCATTCGTTTTCGTTCACTTCCTCAAACGCAACCGCAAATCCATGTGTGAATCCGCCTTTACCAACTAGTCCGCCAAGACAGAACGAAGATTACCCATCACATCATCCATATCATCTTCAGACGCCATATCTAAGGGGGTTCAAGACGGTTCAATGCTGGCACAAAGACATTGACCGCCGACTGAAGGAATGGATGGACTCTTCGCCCAAGACTAAAGACGAAACGGGAGTGTCGTTCTCGCTAGAATTTCTAGAACTAAATTACTGGCAGACGAAGATCATGCTATATCGACCTTGCCTATCGGTTCCTGTTCTGCTTGCAGGTGAACTGGGAGGGAGCGGAAGCTCTGCCAGGGGACGGGCGGCGGAACGAGGGCTAGGCGGTAAAAAAGATCGTGTAGAGAGGGCCGAAGAAGAGGAGAGAGTTTATCTTGTTGTTGCTGAGGCTGGTAGTAAAGTATTAAGGCTTTACAGGCACTTGCATAGAGTACACCAAGTAAACTACACATTTTTGGCTACTCATCATCTATTTATGGCTGGTAAATAATCACTCCTGAGCACCCTCCAACGCCCTAAAGACTTACTAATAAGAACAGGAATTTCATTCCTCTATGCTATATGGCACTCACCTTTAGTCAGGTCCCGTCTCTCCATGGATGAGGTCGACTTTACGATCTTGGCTGCTACTTCTGTCTTGGGCGATCTAGTGAATAAATGTCCACCCGCGGAAGCTTGTCGGGATGCATTTGAACGCATGTCAAGAGCTACAGTCCAGATGTGTTTGGCAGGGAAACGAGGGCCAATGAATAAAATATTGCCTTCAGGAACATTGACTCATCACACAGGTGTATCCGGAGCAACCGGAATGACGGCCGGGATGCAGACAAAGGTCCAGGGGATGACCCCGTTTCAGCATGATGAAGATGGAGAAGGGGAAGATGTGGAAGAAATTGAAGGGGGAAATATGCAAGAGCGAGAAGCAGATATCAAGTTCCCGGATACAGATTCGATGGTATTCAAAAACGAGTACCCTTCGGAATTTCCGCAGATGCACCAACATCAACATTCACAACAACGACATAACAGCAGGCATGGAAATGGATACCCCACGACACATCAACAGCAACAGAATCTTGCTCAACAACCCCGAAGGGGAATGATACATTTTGACGATGGATTTCGAGAACTTTTTACTCCAGCCTCCGCAGGAAACCGCTACTCGAATCCCAATAGCAGGAATGCCAATAATAATGTTCACCCCCACGTTCAGCAGCATCAACAGCCCTCTCCCCAACAGCAGCAATACGGTTTATCACCCACACATCAGGCCGAATCTATCCAGCAAACGGCTTTCCACCCCCCGTTGTCATATAGCAGCGCGGAACAACTATCACCACATTTACAGCACTCTCCACACCCACACCAACAACAGCACCAAAATATGTGGAACAAACACCAAAGCCACATGACACACTCATCCGCTGGCTCATCTCCGCCCATCCTTGCAGGACCTGGTCTACCATGTTCTGGACTGGCTAGCGAAGGTGAAGAAATGATGATAGATCCACAGTTGCAGTACCCACTGGACAACGTACCGTGGGGAAACCTGGATATGGGCACGTTTGGACTAGGAGGTCTAGACTGGGAGGGTGACAACTGGAGTGATAGCGGCAGTGCTGCGGGTGGAATCGGTGGCAGCAGCGGTAATCCAAGTGGCATGGATTTGTTTGATGGGTTTTTCTTTGGAGGTGGGGGTTCAGGGCATTAGTATTGAAGATTTCTGGAGTTCGATTTGAAGGTTTAGGTTTACGCTTAGTGTCTCTGACAGCTCGGTTCTTTTCACGGTTTTTCTTATGACGGTGGGATCAAAATAATCTCTGTTCATTTTTATGTCGTTCATAGGTGTGAAGTAATGTTTTTATTGGGGTTTTTTCTTTCTTTTGATACGAGGGCCTTTGTTGATATTTTATAGCTAAAAATTTCTTTTGTCGGGGGAGTGGAGTGGCGGAAAAGTGAGGGTTGGTTAAAAAAACGGAGCAAGCGGGGAGGGGTGCCCAAAAGCAATTGATGACTACATGACACTGTATTGATATAATGATACCCATTGTTTTTTTTTTTCGTCTCATATTTCTAGATGATATTCTGTGTTTTGTGGGGACTTGTAAGTTTTAGTGATGTTGAATAGGAATTGTCTAAAAATATCTTTAGAATCCGGTCTTGGGATGAATTATCTTATGAAAGTGGCCTTCCTTTTGAGCTGTTGAAGCCCTATGATGCTTCATCTCCACAATCAGGAGATATCACTTGAAGCACGTGCTAAGTATGAGCGATGAACAAAACACCCCACGTGAGCCTAAATATTCGAGACACAGGCAAACCAACCTGGCCTGTCAGTGATAGCAGGTACTCATGTGGTGGTTGTTGGACAGCCGCGTATCGTGGCATAGTTGTGTCGAAAGACCATCGATCTATCTATTGGTAACTCCTTTCAATTGTCTATGAGGATGTAAAACTCATTCACAAAAGTCCAAAGTCGTCCAGAAAGCGATTCCTCACACTTTTATGAACAGCTTGCCGCCGCTTCCGGAATGGCGTACCCATCGATCATAAGTAGACTGGTGTAAGAGCTGCGGATTTTGCAAGTACCGAGTACCGATGAACACATCAGTTCCTCTTGGAACCTATAGCTACATGTAGAGTTGTGACCATCAAGGATCGCCCAGTACTTTGGTCAATCCTGCAAGCCATTCAAACTGTAAGAGTTTATTCCCAACCAATGTAGCAAGCGCAATCCAAGAATTTGTTTAAGGCTGCGAAGCTTCCTCTTGTTTTGATTACTTCCAATCAAAGAACAAGCTAATTAGCACTAGAGGTAGGGGGTAACTGAAAGGTATGTAACCATATCACCTACTCGCCCCGCTGTGGCCTCGAAACCTTGACAAACCCCGCCGTCGATGGCGCCAAATATGCCACCCCCCCGAGCCCAACCGAGTCCTTAACATTACATCTATAGCTAGCGAGTATCCTCACAGATTACGAAATCTTGGAGCAGCTGTACACGCAGATCTCCTCTCACTATGCTTCAGGATCAATGGGGCGACACAGTCGAATGGCAGCTACTTTGCAATTTGAATCTCGAGACCAGTACGCAGTCTCTCCTTGTTGCCTGGAGCGCGATTTTGCGGTCGCGATAGAAGGCTGTACTAATAGAGATCGACTTCCTTGAGCTTCTTCAAGCCGTGGGCGCGCGCAGGGTCGACCGTGGGGCGCTTCATTCATGGTGCTGGGGCTCCGGGCAGCGAAGAGGGTCAGTAGTTGTAACTGAAGTTGTGATGCGGGTCTGGGTTGCTTGTGCAATTGATAGTTTTTGCCAAGTCGGAATTGTGGTTTGATATTCCCCCCCAGGACCGAGATTTTTGAAGGTTGGACCCCTAACCTCACCATCTCATGCTAAATCTTCCTTTGCTAAATTCGCTATTTAGCTGTATGCATTATATTTGTCTATATACAAGTACATAACGCATCTGTAGAAGTAGCAGCTTACATCATGGATGTCCGTCATTCTCTACAACGTATGTACATACATGTACGTTTATTCATTGCGACGAGTGATCTGTGGTGATGCTCCGGGAGCAAAAAACACAAACATCCAACAGAACATGGTGCCTCTTCCCCGTTTTTCATCAAACAATGACAAACAAAGAGCTTGCCAGTATAGAGGGTTTGCACTCCCGCGCGATCTCTGCTCCCGCTCCCAAACTCTCACTCACCAATTCGCATGAGCCCACCCAACGTAACAGTGTCAGCAACAAAGCGCCGTCGAATGTCGCTGCAGCTACCCAATTGTTCTTTCTTCCCCGGCGCTTGTTATTCGACTTTATAGTTCTACATAACCGCCCTTCTTTAGTGGTTGGGCGTCGTCGGGGGTCGTAGTGGTTAGTGCGGGGTTGTCAGAAGTGAGTTTTTTAGGCCTTGGAGAAAACCTGTGAATTTATATGTAAATGTAGTGATGTGCACTATATTATGGAGGATGAAAGCTGACCTTCTGGACAGGATAGGAGATGGGTTAGCAGAGAATTCACGGAGTCTGCTAGCGCTATAGTTGATAATATGCTTGCGGGCAGCAGGGTATAGGAAGTGGGCGCACCTAGTATTGATGCTCCCCAGCCTACACCCACGAAAGCATTTAAGTTTTGCACTACAGAGTGGTAAGAGTGGTATATATATAAATGAAGCTCTTACGCCACATGACCTACAGCATATGGTGCGTGGGGATTGGTACATACATGTATATGTATGAGAGAAAAAAGGCATCCAATGATGTCCGTATATACGAACTAGGGCATCTCTTTCCTAAAGGATGTCGGCACATCCCATTGAAAATATTTGGGGCTTGCCGTATATGTCGTGTCACCTCATTTTTAGTAAGTATTGTAAGAGTGCACTTTATTGTGGCTGAGCTTTCCAAATGAACAAGTACTCTAGAGACATATCACAAAGCATCCCCGTGATCTCCTGTACAGGCAAGGTTCGTGAAAAACTCAGAACCGGGAACGGACGCTCCTCCGCGTTGCCTTTCGGGATTTTTTCGGGAAATTTCCCGCTACCCCTGTAACCTTAACTCAACCACGAGTTGTACCACCTGCAAGATGCAGTGTAGGATGGTGAAAGGCCAGTGCGCCCACACTTTTTGAGGGCTCTTCTAGGGACCAGACGTTGTATGTGGTTTTGGAGAGAGTGTGGGGTGTAGGTCGGGATAAGTGGATTGGATTGGAAACTTCACCGATATTGTACCGCTGGTGGTGGTGTACATAGTTTACACGGGCTTTGTGCAGGTATTATTACATGAGTACTTGGGACAGGCAGAAAGAACGTGAAAGTGCAGTTTACTATTGCATGGCATTCAAGTCGCAAATAGTTCTAGAGTAGGCGCAAATCATGACATTATTTTCCGGTTTCTTGCGCCTACTCCGAGCAGAGGAAAGTAAGTTCTAGACACAGAATAATATTTGTTCCGGAAACGGTTTAATTGACTTGCCAAGCGGTAACTAACGCGAGAGATGTCTTTGCCAAGCTTTATACGACAACTCAAACTCAGTCAGCACTTTTGCAACTTGAGATATCGACTGATTGGTGTATTCTTCGACAGCGCTTGTGGCTTACGTTGTCTTTAGGATCACCCAGAAGAAGGAATACAGGGGCTCGTGGGGAGAGCATACGTGACAGTCTCATCCACGCGGAAAAGAGAGGTGTCTAGTCCAGATCACAACTATAAGAAGCATCTATATCCTCGTAGGCCAATCAATTTATCGTCCTGTCTCGTCTCCAGTTTGGGGTCGAGACAATTCATCGAGAACAGCAGAGCCTCTTGTGGTCCGAGGAAACACTAGTCTACTGTCCTGACTATAGTTCGAGCATAGTACGGGCCCCTCTTTCAAGCTCGTAGGGTTAGTGCCGCCATTGATGTAGGTACTTCTTGCGTCTTTGGCAACAGATGCAAATGCAAGGTCTTCCAAGCTTACACCATTCATCATGATTTCCGCACACTTAGGGACCGAATAAAACTGTGTTGAAACGGTCAAAGCAGCCGACATTCATGTCTTCCCAGCGGGCTAGAATTCAATTGGCTGACACCTTGCAGATGATGACGTGTTAAGCCAGCGGCTCCCCCCTCCTTCCTCAGAGTGAAAAAAAAGTACGAAGGGTGGTTCTTGAAACTCTTACAGTGGGCCACAAAACGGCGTCTTCCCCCTCCCCATACCAAGACTACTTCTCTATCATAAAATCAAACGAAAAGCTGGTTGCTTCATAAGAAGAATTAATTCCCATTACTCTGGTAAGTTTACTTGAATCATGCTTGGTTGCATCGGGGCTTACGGATAGATTTGCAGCTGCAGGAGGTAAATTAAAGGTGGAATTCAAGTGTGACGTACCCTCAACGTCTGGAAATTCGTCCATCACACTACTTCCTGTACATCAATCCTATATTTGTGCATCCATCTCCATTATTCAATCATCAACATTACACAATGATGGCTCTAATTATAACCCCTGATGAGCCCTCGACAAACGACATTAACCACTGCACCAGCTCCAACTGTCTCGACGTTGACTCCTGTCCTAAACCCTATTGCAAGCCTCAAAACACCTATATCGGGGGCCATTCCTCAACTTCTGTGGTCATCAGAACTCAGGAGGAACTCGATCGAGAGGGCATGGAGCAATCACATGTTATCCGTAGAAGACCAACGTGTAGGTTCATGAACACGGCATTCTTCAAAGATTTAAAGGCAATTGGTGGAGCGGAGGATCAAGAGGCGGAGCAGATAGATTCTGAAGAAGAAGAAGAGGAAGAAGAAGACGACGAAGACGAAGAAGAGGATCATCGTCCTCTGCAACTGAACCCCCTGGGAAATGATCTTCCGCCAGGACATAACCCTCCACTTGGATTCGGGCATCCGTCCTGGGAGCCTATCGGGGATCTCGCTGTGCAGGAAGCGGAGGAAATTATTTCCAGTCTCGAAATGATTCCCGAATTACCAGAACCTCCGGATAATCTATCGGAGCGTCTTCTATACATCGAACGGACCATCAGCGCTTTGAGTGGGGAGACCAAACACTCCGACCCCAGTGGATCTCAAACCCAGTCTGAAGGATCACAATCTCTATTTGACGAATTGTTGACTGCATCTGATGCCTCTTCCCAAACTTCCTGGGTGACGCATGTTACCTCTGAGCACCGTCCGTTGTGGGGGGAAACCAAACCAATTGGCACCAAGCTCATTGTTTCTCGATTGAACGAGGAGGAGCCTAACGACCCAGAGGACCTGAATTTGTACTATCTCCCGGACTTGAAAGAGTGGCGTCCATTCCCTGTTGAGGTTGAGGTTTGGAATGCGCCGGAACCTGTCCAAGTCTTGAAGAAAAAGTCGAGGGTTAAGCGCATTGCGAGCGCGGTTGTGACGAGGATCAAATGCGGTGCTTATGGCTATCATTCTCATGCTCCTCTTGATAAGAGGCTCATTTCCATGCCAGTCGAAGGATCCAAGAGAGGGATGATTGAAGCTCTTCTTGAGGACAAGTAGGGATCTTTGTGTCGTATTCTTTTTCTTATTGATATCCATATAATATTTGGGAGGTTTAAAATCTGGGCTTTTATTTCTTGCTTTTTCGCGGTACATTTTCTCTATTGTTTTTCTTCTAAAATCATTTTATGGGGACCTTTCATTGTTCTTTTCTGGATTACCATCTTCGGTTTTATAGTAGCTCAATTTTTTTTTAGCGGGATTAGTGCTTTCTTTTACGCCTGTTTACGAATTTCTATGATGTTTTCACGATTTTCAGCTTGTATTTTTTCTTTCCTGCTTTAGTCATGCTTACTTACGATTACATGTAGTTACTGTTACTGCTGGCTGGGTGTATCTTCATCTTTTCGTTTTCTCTTTCAAAGTTTAAGATAGCTTCTGGCTTTTCTTTTCTTTTTTCTTGGCTTCGATGATAAAATGTCTAGAATTTGACCAAGACGTTGTATATTTAATTAAACGGGGACATGCCAGAGACGTGGCTCTCTCTTGCTAGGAATTGTTATCCCACTTATCTAAACCGGTCTAACAGACCCGATGTTCCGGAATTCGCTAGGATATTGGGAAGGGAGCCGATTGGCCTAAACATGTACTAAGAAGAACGGAAAAAATGAAGAATCGATGTTCCTACCAATCATGTGCGGTGTCTCATGCCTGATTTCCAGTTACTTGATTGGCCGAAAACAGTAACCCCCGTTCAAAAGAGACTCACTAATCACACCACCAATGAAAATCAACCACTGCGACCAGCCGCCATAGTCTACTAGGTAAGTCTAATAGATTTTAAGTTAATTTACTATATACAAATGACTCCTCAGAGATTACCCAAAGATCGGATTTATGTTCCTACAAGGAGAATACGTTTGACCCGAGATATATACAATTCCGCTACTCTCACAGGCTTGGCTTCAGACCCTATATGCAGTAATTCTCCGAGCTTACCTCTCCTACACCTTGCTCTGCCTTGATTTCCCAGGTCCACCGATAGCTGGAGGGTTTTCTAGATAGATGCATCTAGATATGCCGCTTCTGTACGTGATTTCATGCGTGCTAATGCACGATTCTCATCCATGGGAGGCGTTCGCCTCATGAAACAATAATTTAATCACAGGATATCACTCGCACATGATTGCTAGTCGTAGGAACGGGCGATGATGTAATGTGTTTAGGGTGGTCCACGAAGCTGCTCGAGGCGATCAGAGACAAGTGCATCGGGGTGCCTCTACCTCGCATGGTCCGTGCCTTTGCTTGCTCGTGTAGATGGGGGTGATGCCTCGAGGCAGATCATTACTATAATTAGACCTGTCGAAGTTGCATTTTACCGTTGAAATCGTAATACCGAGATTCAATTCAAGCGAAACAATCTTGAAAAGACTGAATCTAAGAGTCCGGGAATGATAGTCAAACGTCTCATAAGAAATATCAATTCCACTCCATATATGCCACCAATACTAGTAGGATTACCCGAATCTCGAGTAGCTTGCCTTGTGGACCCCCATGCCTTGCTCTCTTGAGGTAGAGGCCTCGAAGCCACACTATGTGTTGCTCAGTCAAGGGTAGGAATATGTGTCCGGTTCTATCTTCTTCGGAAGGTCTTTGTGTCAATCCAAGCTATAGAGGTTCGTGTTATCCAAGGTTAGGGATCGAGTTGATGCCGGCGGCGCCGGCGATCTTAGCTTTCTAGAAATTCTGGTGAAAGAATTGGTGTCAGCTGTAGCCATAAAGTAATCACGATATCGAAAGATGGAGGGGTGTGTACCAGTGCCATGCCCTGATGAGGATGGGGAATCCGCAGGATAGAAATGGACTCCTTCGGAGATTTACCCCGACTCGAGAAATCATTCGACTTCAAGCCTGTCATTGCTGTCAATCATCGAGATAAACGCATGTGAAGTGAAATGGAATCTCTCTGATACCTCCCTACATGGTCTTTCTTGGCTTTGTAGGCGTGTGGTTCCAATTGAAGCGCATATCATTTTGTGTGCCACAGACAAGTTAGAATGTGCAGAGTGGTGAAAGATCTTCCTCCGCAACGGAATTCTTAGGGGAGAAGGCTGGCCGGGCTTGTTCCTTGGGTCGGCGGAAGAAAAAGCGGACATTGTGGCGGCTTTGCCAGCGCAACCTGAAAGTCGTTGAGAATACGCTATGCCCGCGGAAGGGTTACAACCGCGTACGCGTTCCCTTCTCCCTCCCTCCCCATAAATAAAAGAAAGATCGCATCAAGGGCCATGGACCTTGTGAGAGTCGAAAGATTCATTGGTGGAAGGGAGGAGTTGGCGTTGATCGTTCGCTAAACTATGAGTGGTCTCTACCTGTCTGGTATCTAACTCAGGCGATGCTCACTCCCCTCTTTTTTGCAAAGCGCAGGCATATTCTGCCCCAGAAGCTCTGGGGCATGAGAAGTGTATAAATCGAGTGATAATTCATGTGAGAGGGAACACATTGGCTACATGCACTATTCTATGTACTTAGCTAGACCATTTAGAGAAGGTTGATGCGCAATCTGGCAAGGAGCGCAGACCCTAAGCCTCGCGGGGAGTCGACACTAGTCTCGCGGTTGATGTTTCGGGATTGGGCTGTCTCGTGCCCAGACTTCCTATGATTCTGATTGGTCAATAATCGGGTGTGTACTTCCATCATAGAAGAAGCTGCGTGAGGTACGAACCTTGGCGCCAATACGAGTGATATACCATGATCCAGGCTATGGGACATACCAACAAGCCATAGCTGAGTGCACGTATATATCTGGCGGCAGCCTGATCTATATCTCAGCGTAAGTACGGATAGTTCCCTGACCTCGGCGAGGTGGCACGTAAGTTATTCCTCACCTAGCTCGGCGAGGTGACTTATACAAGCTCCTCACCTCGACGAGACAGCGAGTAAAGTATTGCTATGTGGCTACATGTACGCGTACTTCCTGGCCATAAGTAAGACTTAGAGGGATCTCACAGTGATCGCAGACGATATACTTCGCGCTGTATGGTCATACCTTGACATATCCAGCAGAATTGCTTTCTTTTCTCCAGGGTATGAAGGGAAGGTTGAACAGTGAACAGTTCTATGACAACATATAAGGGTTCTTAAGGCCTACCATTGTGCCTCAGTTTATATATATGTAATGTGATGTTAGGAGTAGAGAGAAAGAAAGCCAATACATAAATGCACACAGAGTCCGGATCCTTTGAAATCTAAGAAAGCTGTGCAGATATTCCAATATGATCTTTCCTCAATTCACATCTATTCTTGCGGTAGAATTTCCCATGAATCTTGGATCTTATACATCGCTGCTCAAATTATTGAACATGTGGAGGGGCATTCAAACTAGAGATTGATATTCCAAAGCCACTTTCATAATTAAACAGTAATCACCCACTAAATTGCTGCCGACGGCCTGGTTAAGGCCAGAAACGCGCTAGCCGTTCTCCCACAACTGAGATTCCTTTTGCCCCGCTATTCTTCTGTCCCACTCTCTTTCCCTCTTGTTTCCCTTTTCCCCACAAACATCCACAATTCTGGTGAAGTTTGCCTGGGAAATCAATCATCCTTCGCCGAAAATCGCTTCTCTGAAATAAGCCATCCCGCCCAAAGTAAGTGACGACCTCCGACTCTCCCACTTGTTATCAATCCGTCAATTTATTGTTCTTGAGCTCACAATGGATCGTACAGGCTTTATCACGTACAGTGCGTGTGCTGTAGAGTTCGTGCTGAAGAAAACTCAGAGCAGCGAATAAGTAAGTAATCATGATTGACCTTCCAATGATTGCCCTCATGCTTTAACTTATTATCATTCAGCTAGCTATGGATGACCAGAATCAAGTTTATGGCCAGATGAGCACCACGAACAGCTCTATAAGCCATATAGAATATGCCGATCAAAGCCAATTGCAAACGATCGAAGAAAAAAGCCCTGAGGGTCGCCTCTCAACCACTCAAGAGCGGTCTGACCGAGTCAGGTCCCATCTAGCGAATCGTAAGTATATATATATATCCTCCATAAAAATAAAACAAACGGAAAGAAGAAACATAACTAAAATCTTCCAGTGCCCCCAAGCGCTTCCACTAATCATCGTACGCGCTCCTCAAACGCCAAAAGTTTTGATCTGGCACCATCGACTACACCTCCACCTACTGAGTGGGAACAGTATTTCGAGGCTAGGTCGACCCGCATCCGCAAGGAGCGGGAGATGAAAGCGACTAGCACTCAGCGTGGAAAATACTGGCATGCGCTGTTGCAGGAATACCGGGACATTCCTCCTCTCCACCAAGAAACGGAAGAGGATAGGCGCCAGTCCGAAATCATGCGCTTGAAGAAGAAGAGCTTGATGGAATCCCGCTCCAACGGCAGTTCTGGCAAAAAGTTTCGCTTTTGGGAAAGGTGATCCCAGTGCACATGCATCATGTAAGTACGATATATATCTCGCAGCTAAGAATATGTGCTGATGTTTTTCTCAGACTTTCTATCCAAGTGAGGTGCAATTGGCTTACAAGGTTAATTTTCTTTGCGTAAAGTGGTAAGTTCTTTACATGGTTATATATCATGGCTTCTTCATGGTTTTCCACTCGACTAACCTCGATATATCGCAGGAATGATTCAACATATATTTTTAGTCTTCTCTCCTTTCATTATTTTTAAAACAATAGGAGAGTTTTAGGAGGCATTGGGGTAATAAAACATAGCGGTTTCTATGGGTTCTAAGTGTCCTAGCTTGTGTGTGCTCCTGACCTTTGATAACTAGCGTGAGGTATGATATCGTGACTAGCCGATATTCTCCATATTCCTATTCTTGACAGACTATTTGGAAAGAAGTTACTCAGCCTAGTGTCTATATATTAAGTCGCGAAGAAGCTTAAGTACTTTGGCATCACTTAGATACATGACCGCCACCTTAATAAACCGAGCTCTTCACTAGTAATTAAACTTCAAATTAAAATCTTAAACGCCTCTAGCCTATGCTTAACCAGAGTTCTCGAGATTCACAGGTCTTGAGGCTGAAAGAAATATACGTTTTGAAGCTCTTTTCTGGCATATTTAATAGTGTCTATGTTGGTATTATTTTAATCCTAGATTAGAGGAATGTTAGTTAAGCCAAAAGCAAAGTCGAGGTGAGGTCAAGTTCTGCTTGGCATACGTAAATTTAGTGTTGTGAAACACAAGAACCCAGCCCAGCAGATCGCTTGGCGAAAATTCCCACCACAACCCAACTGCACCCCACCATCACAGAATTTCTTACTATTCACGTACCTCTAACCCCATTTCACCCCCAATCAAGAGCTCAAGCAACAATGGGAAAGAGCAACAGGAATAACTGGCGCGTATGTTTCCCTTATTCTTTTGATTTCCTACGGAATCTTCTGGCTGACCAATTCTCCAACATAGTCGAGGAGAGAGAATAAGAGCGGACAAGGCTCTGGGTCGAAGGGTGCGGACACACGCGGCGATGCATATGTCTCGATCCCAACAGAGAATGAAAAATATGAGAAGTTTTACAAGGAGTCTGGCCTGATCCCAGAAGAGGAATGGGAGGAGTTCTGGAGCACGTTGAAGAGAACTTTACCGACTACCTTCCGGTTCACTGGGAGCAAAGGGTAGGAATTCTTTTTTTTGTTCTTATCTTATAGCTAGACTGGAGAGCGACACTGACTGGTAACCGTATAGCCATGCGCTGAACGTTTTGAAGACACTCCAAGAAGTCCACGTCCCCCATCTCTCAGGAATCATTTGGGAAGGCCAACCCGTCGCGCCTCCCACTCCGCTCCCATGGTTCCCTGACAATCTTGGTATTTATTTCACTCTCAGGTTTCTAGAAACCATGCTAAACTAAAATCCAGCTTGGCAAATGACCGCCGGAAAGGCAGTCATCCGTCGCTGCGCTCCCTTCAAGAAATTCCAGAATTTCCTTGTCGCCGAAACCACAGTTGGCAACATCTCTCGTCAAGAGGCAGTCTCTATGATTCCACCATTATTGATGGACATTGAGCCGCACCACACTGTTCTTGACATGTGTGCTGCCCCGGGATCAAAGACGGCCCAGCTCATCGAGGCTATTCACGCTGGCGAGGAAGCACGCGTCGAAGCGGCCGTTGCGCAGGGGGACGCGGCGCCTGAAGGGAGCTCTGACAGCGGTGGGAGACCTACTGGTCTTGTTATTGCGAACGACGCAGACTACAGGAGGAGTCACATGCTGATTCATCAGACTAAGCGTCTGAATTCCCCGAACTTGATCGTTACCAACCATGATGCGACATGGTTTCCTAGTATTCGGGTTAAGGAAGAGAACGGGACTGTGGAGTACCTGAAGTTCGATCGTATTCTTGCAGATGTACCATGTACTGGTGACGGCACGCCAAGAAAGAACTATGGTATTTGGAGGGACTGGACTCCCAATGGTGCTTTCAACCTGCATCTCACCCAGGTCCGAATCTTGGTTCGTGGGTTGCAGATGTTGAAGGTCGGTGGAAGAATTGTTTATTCGACCTGCTCAATGAACCCCGTCGAGAATGAAGCCGTACTTGCTGCTGCTATCGATAGATGCGGTGGTGTAGAAAAGGTAAACATTGTCGACGTCAGCGACAGGCTGCCAGAGTTGAAAAGACGACCTGGTGTGTCTGAATGGAGAATCTGCGACAAGGATGGTGCCTGGTTCTCCACCTGGGAGGAGGTAGAAAATGATAAGAAATCCGTGGAGCGAATGAGCAGAATGACAAGAGAGATGTTCCCCACCGAGAACAAGAAATCCCTTGATGACCCAACGAGGGTACCTCTTGAAAGGGCGATCCGTGTCTATCCCCATCTTCAAGACACTGGCGGATTTTTTATCACAGTGTTGGAAAAGAAGCAGGAGATCAGGGCGATCAAGCCTGAGGCAGGCGGAAGAAAAAAGATGGCCGCCATAGCCAAGGCCCAGGCAGGGAAAGAACTTGATGAGGAGGCAGCCAGCGAGGCTCCTGAGGCTGCTGAAGGCGCCGAAATTGCGACCGAAGAAACACCTGCACCAGTTACTCCCGCTGTAGTAGAAGAGTCAGTGCCTTCTGAAGCTCCAGAATCTCCCACAAAACGTAAAATCGAGACTGTTGACGCCGCCCCTCCTACACCACCAGCGGCCAAGAAGACACGACTAGAGGACACTGCTGAGGCAGAACCCAAGGGCGAAGCTTCTGAGCCATGGGCTTCAAAGAAGACCGGTGAAAAGACAGAGGCCAAACAAGAAGGTGCTCCCCAAAAAGTGGGCAGGAAGAACGGCGGCCAACCAATCGAGGAACCTTTCAAGTATCTTTCGCCCGAACACTCAGTAATCAAGCAAGTATTTGACTTTTATGGCTTATCACCACGCTTCCCCCGCGACTGCTTTCTCGTCCGTAACGCGGAGGGAATCCCAAGCCGCGCAATTTACTTTACGTGCAATCTGGCCAAGACCATTCTCACCATGAATGAAGGGAAGAATATTAAGTTCATCCATTGCGGAGTCAAGGCATTCTTCAAACAGGATGTCCAAGAGCCTGACGTATGCCCATGGAGAATCCAGAACGAGGGACTTCCAATCATTGAAGGTTGGATCGGCGAGGGCCGTGTTGTCCGCGCCAAGCAGAAGAGCACCGTCAAGGGTCTCCTCAAAGAGCTTTTCCCGAAAGTCAATGCTGAGGGATACGAAGGCGACGCCAGCACTATCGCGGAGATTGAGGAGCAGGTCAGGAACTTGAGCATGGGATGCTGTGTTCTTAAGGTTGAGAAGGGCACTGGGGAGGAGTCATTTGCGGACCCTCTGGTCCTGCCATTGTGGAAGAGTCGTCACAGCTGCAACCTCATGTTGCCTAAGGATGAGCGAAAGTAAGCTTGCCAATTTTTTAGGTTGTGGTGACGGGAAATTTTCTAACAAAACCGATTTGTATAGGGCAATGTTGATGCGTTTCTTCAACGATGAGGGAGAAATCATTGACTCAACCAACAAGAACAAACAATCCTCTCAGAAGAAGCCCGACACCTCAGTTGACACAGAAATGGCCGAGGCCGAAGAAGGGAAGGGTGAGGGCTATGGCGAAGAGGAACCCGGAATGGGTGAACCGATGCCTATGAGTGCCTTCGAGGAGCCCACTTCAAAGGTGCTTGAAGAGAACGACGTCAAAGAAATTGTCAAAGAAAAAGAAGACAAACGCGAGGTTGGGATTCTGAAGAAGGAAGTTTTGCAAGGCTCGGAGGAGGCGGCAGCTGAAAAAATGGTGACTGAGGAGATTGTGAAGGAGGAGCTTGGCGATGCTGCCGTGTAAAACATTTTCTTTTTCTTTTTCTTATGGGATTTTGACGAGCGATATCTAGCACTAAGGTAAAATGTTTGAGTGCTTCAAAACTGGGATGGGAACAAAGGGATTTTTTTTTCAAAAGTATGACGAAATAACATAGAGTTTTTTCTCGTTCAGCAATCTTCAAATTTTTGATAGAGAGGCCAAGATACAAAACGATCTTGTTTGTTTTTCGTGGAAGGGCCAGAATTATGAGAACGTTTATCGAATGAGTGATCGTGAGTGGTTTACGGCCTGCTGTTCATAAGCCCCATACATCGCTCTGGAATACAACAAAGTATTCTTCTGAATAAGTCCCAATGCGTCATTCAAATGGATAGGAAATTACCCAGAACTACATGGTACTTTCTTCCTTTGTTGAGAGAGCTTAAAAGATAAGTGATCACGGACGATTTTAATGTGACAAATGAATAGGTATTTATCAAAGGTACATGTATGTACCTTATCCACAGATCATAGAGCTCCTATTTAGCTCTTGAAATATGGAGCACGATCCAAGTACTCTTGATCTATCCAACTTTCATTAACAAGTGCTTAAAATAGTACAGAATTCTTCCTCAGAAAAATCAGCTACTCTTAACATAATCTCTCTCGAAGAGGTTTGCTGAGTGCCAGTTTCCTCCCCCAGTCTTCTCTCACTCCAATTTCTCCACATAGTTCTCCATAATCCTTCAGCGGGATCTAGCTACCAACTCTCACTATATTGTCCTCGGTCATGTTTATTCTCTCTATTATCCATACCAGCTAGATCCGGTTTACAACCTTCCCTTAAGTCTGGACAACTACTCCCTCTATTCAGAGGCTGAAGATTCATCACATTATCAAGTTTCTGAGAGGAGATCTCACGAGCGTCCGACTCGCCGTTTCTATCAGAACAGAGCCAAAGGTCTCCATCTAATGAGTTGACAGTACCCACAGATTCTTCAGAGGGAAGCTTAATCTCAAGAGCTGCACCAGCTCCCCCCATTGCTTGCGACAGATTTGCCGCTGCCCGGTCAAATATCTCACGTATCTTTGCGGCCAACGCTTCACTTTCGGCTGAATTTCCCTCCTCGTTCACAACTGAATCTCTCTCGGGGGTTTTATTTCCTGAATTGGATGTTCGGGTGCCGCTGGCTCCTTTCCGAATTTACAAAGGTTCTGCGTCACACTGCTCAAGCAACCAACTCCATTTACCTGAGGTCCAGAGAAGTCATTTTCTTCATAAGAATAGCCTTTCTTGCTTCTATCTATTGAGGGTACTACGGGGTGCGGATGCAGACGCGGCCGGTGGCTGCGACTATCGATAGGTGATCGTTTCTCAAAGTTTTTTGAAGACCTGGTCTCGAGAGGATTTGCGATCGGGTTGAATGTCCCATATGGCACTGAGCATTTATTAACTCCAGAATGAACAAGGGGCGTAGTCTCCTTTAAATTTTCCCCAGAGAGCCTTCTTGTTATTTTTGATAATGGTATGGGTCTAGGCTTAGATTCAGCTTCACTGCCCAAAGATACTGTTAAGGGTTCAATAGACAGGTCGCCCTCATTCTTCTTTCCTATCGATGTCTCTAAGTTAACTCTTGATGTAACGTCCTCTTTTTCGTTTGCTTCCGATAACCGTAAATGGTCTACCGAGTCGTTATTACGAACAGATATTGGCGACCTTTTGACAATTTCCTCCGTCGTTGTCATTGTAGACGACTGGTTTTGACTTGATTGTGACAGTGAGGTATGATATTCTAGTCTCCGTCTTATGTGACTGTTTCCCCCATAGGTTCTCCAGCTAATCCCGAAGTCATAGAACAGCGTTTCAAGCCTTGATGGAAATTCACCAATTTTCTTTGAAATGTGCCCTCTCGCTCTTTTAGTAGAAAATAAAAACGTTTCTTCCTCTTGGGCCGCATTTAATTCTATCGTGTCAATATATGCTAACATCAAGTTAGTCTTCCGTTAACATTTTTGGGTCGAATCTCACCTCTGTTCGTGAGTATCAATCCTTCGACCTTATCAAGATAGAACTCGGTCTCATCATCGGTTTGGTTCTTTGGATACGATGTGACTATTGAGTTTTCTTGGGGAATATTCCTCAAGCATAATAAACACCTGCACCAAAAGCCATAAAAATAGCAACAATGATCTCTAACGTCTTTTGCGTTTGAGAAGATCAAACTTGCAAACTTCTCGGAATAGTCGATGGTAATTTCCACATCAGACATGGGAATATCCTGAGCAGCAATAACCTCCATGTATCCGCGCCGCTGGCTCCATTTGAGATATGCATTTGCGACGCAAGCATGGTTGATTCTGGATATATTCTTAAAAACCGCTGTACTGTCATCATGGATAAATTGTAGATTCGTCAGGTAGATCCCTAATAATTCAAGTACGGATGTTGGCCCGGGTGCAGTCCTACGACTGCATACATGATTCTGAGCTCGTGTAAGTAGCTTCTGTCGTGCATTGAAGAGCATTAAGAATACTTCTTGATCCTCTTTCGATAACAGTTTGAAGGCCTCGACAATTGGATGTTCTTCTTTACCAGCGCGATTCTCCTTCCTGAAATCCTTTGCGAGTCCTTTCCAAAGATTTTTTATGAACTGTGCCTCGGGCTGGCTCTTGATTATGATAAAAGGTTTCTCGGTGAAGATCAGTTCCCCGGACCGGAAAGCTCGTCTGCTATATAGGGTCGTACCCGTTTTAGCTGGGTTATTTTCTGCGGATACCACAACATATTCTGGTGCCATCTTTTCGGTTTAGAAAAAACTATCTTATCGCTTAAAGTGTTTCCTCGTTGTGTATTACGGTATTCTCGGCGGTGGTGGTACGCTTTTCTAGAGTACAGAATACTGCAATCCTGTATTGAAAGTTCGTAGCTTACACCATTGTAATAGCTATCCCAAGCTGAATGTGAGCAGTGATAAATGTGTTTTAGGGAGAAAAAAAAAGGGGATAGGAAATTTCCTTGGAGTAACATACGAAGACTTGTGTTTTTAACTGCGAGGACAGATTTCAACCATTAATCATCCATTTAGAGCTCGTTTGGCAACAGGTCAAAACAGAGTTTACAAGAGCGGAAGTATACAACTTCGCGACTCTTTTATTAGGCTCACCATTCTAGACATTAACACTTAAAGAACTCAACACATCCACGTCAGCGCCTGTCTTACGCTAGAGTATGATCTTATTATAATTAAAGTAGATTGGAGATAAAGAAGCTAAAGATACGTACTTAGTATATAGTAGTGATGGCGCAAATAAGCTACTGCTCAGCGTCAAGAGAAGAGATATATCTGACAACGGAATTCTAAAAGGTAGGGGAAGTTAAGTTGACAAATATAAATAGGTGGGGATGAAAGAGCGATGTGGCGGAGCAAGAAGGTATACTTAAATCTAAGATTAAGATAAGTTCATCATGAGGCATCACTCGATCGCCAACGAGACGAGGTCTGTTTGAGTATTTGGTTGATTGATTGATTGATTACTTAATTAATTATATGCAACCCGGAGGTTATAAAAATATAACAAACAAATTTTCCTCCCCAGAACGTCCCTTCATCCACCGCCATCTCAACAAAAATAAATATAAGAAAATAACTGTCACTCCCACTTAACTTCAATTTTAATTATCTCCCTTCTCCCATCCTCCAATCTTTTACCATGTAACGTCCCACCCATTCTCATGTGTGTAGCCGTGAAATATTTCCTGTCTATCTTTAGTACCCTAGTTTTCAGTTTGATGATCCCAACCCTGATTGTCTCTGTACTCTTCCACATTTCGTGCCCGTTTTTCTCTAGAACTAGGATTGCCTGGCCTTTTCTGTGTCAGTGCCATGCCCAGCCGTCAACTGAATATTGTTCCCTGTTGCTGTTGTTCCACTCATTGACTTCCGTTTCGATTTCTCTAGCTCGTTCGCTGTTTGAGTATCTGGTCCATGTAGCCATATAAATTTTATCTTTCTTCTGTGAGAAGGTAGTCCCCAGTCCTCGCCATTCCCAGTCTCACTCGCCCCCCCTCCTTCTCCTTCCATCCTTCCCCCAATTCCAGTACACATGCAATCCGACCTGCTTATCGTAAATAGTACACGCCAAGTTCAGAGTATACCCCCACTTCACAAGTACATCTCATCTCTTTTTTTCCCCGACCGATACAAGAAAATCTCGTCCATTCGTTCCATAGATTACATATTTGTAAGGGCATCAGAAAGTAAAGGAACCTGTCCAAGTTTTCCAGCACAACACAGTTGTGAATACAGCAGTCCAATCGAAAGAGGGCTAAAGCTGCTAAAAAAAAAAGTAAACATAATCTCGGAGGCCACACTCTCTTTTTTACCCACTGAATTATTCCGTTCGAAACAAAGACCAGAGTACAAGAGGTAAAAAGTAGAAGAGACCCGAGAAGAATAAGAATAAAGGGGGGGGATCACATTGTATGACGCTATCAACAGGCAAAAGCCAAACCATGAAAAGCCGAGTGAAAAAAAAAGATATTGAAAGGAACCCTGAAGAAACATCGATTGAGAGAGCCCGCGGCCGTGATAAAGATGGGGAGTAAGGAGGTAGAGAGAAATAAGACAAAGATATCAATAAACGCCGTGGTTGTGCAAAAATATGCAATGCAAGACCGTTTTTCCAGCCCAACTATACTATATAGGTAAGAAAAAAAGAGCCCAAGGAACGGTTACCAGATAAAACCCTTGAAAACTAAAAAAAAATAAAAAAGCAGAATTTCATATCATATCATGCCACACGCTTCCCCAACAAGAGACAGAAAAATAAAGAGGCCCTTTTACATAAACTGCCCAGACTGTGTAGGGTCCAGCAAAAGGTCTTTGATGGTCGAGCTAAGTTCTTTGAAGTCAACCGGCTTGGACACGTATCTCGAGAACCCTGCAGCAATACAACGGTCTGCAACATCGGACATGACGTTTGCTGACAAGGCAACTATTGGCACTCTCGGGGCATTGTGTGTCTGTTCCCAAGCTCTAATTTCCATCGTAGCTTGGAAACCGTCCTTCCTCGGCATATGAAGATCGCACTAACCACATCGTTAGAATTACTCGGAAAGTTATTTCAGCAGGGTGGGAAAACTTACTAGGATGAGACCATAGTGCCCAGGGTTTTGAGAAAACACTTTTTCCACGCATTCCTCTCCATCACTTGCCGTATCAACCTCTAGCCCCACCCTTGCCAGGAATCGCAGAAGAACCTTCTGATTAACCGTGTTGTCTTCCACGAGCAGGACGCGATGGCCTCGGTTTCCAACTTCCTGCTCCATCTGGCTAAACACTCTCTTCTGAGTCTCGACAACTTGTTGAGCAGAGTCCCTGTTCCTATCCATTGACGCATCTCTTTCATTCGCCGGGTCAAAGATAACACCAAAACGAGAAGGCTTGATTGGCTTGTAGATGAACTGCAGTCTTTGTCCCATACGCTCGCAATTCTGTGGCGCGCCTTGCATTACCGCTGTACGTTGCGTGGGGTTAGTCAAGACAAGCATAGTTGTCAGCGAATGAAACGAGCTGCCCAGTATTTGATCTATGAGAGCAATAATCTCCGCGTGTTCTGGGAGGTTGACAACGATATGGGTAAACACAACTGGGTCATCGCCACCAATCAAATCTTTGCACTCGTCGTATTTGGAAGCCGTGGTAATCTGGTTGGGGATATTCTTTGGTAACGTAATCTTGATGTGATGGGCTATAGCGATACGTGAATAATGTTGTTCCGATACAATCAAAATTGAGAACATTGGCGGAGTAACTGCACGACCAAGTTCCGAATCGACTGAGGGCTTCTTCACCGACGCTTCTGTTTCCGAAGGCGTATCAGTTGAAGCAGGTGGGGAGTAAGCTTTGAATTTCTGTTGGGCCTCTGTGGGGAGGGCAAGCCGCATGGAGACAGGATCTGCAGAAGAGGACATCGGAAGGTGAGCCAATGCTGACATAGAGGACCCAGTTGAGGCGGAGCGGAACGAACTTATCGAGGGGTCCGAACTTGCCGATGATGCAGGAGCAGATGAAGGCCCATCACTAAAGGTAAGACCAGGCGGTGTATCTGATGGGAATTCCGTGATCCTTTCAGTGATCGTATCCGACTCTAGAATACCCTGGCGTCTGCCCTGAGCAGCGAGGTTGGGCGTAATGCCGGGTGGAATGCCTTGTGGGATAGGCGGGATAGTATCCGGGGTAGCAACTGCAGAGGACCCTTCACCCTGGGGTTTCTCTCTAGGCAACTTGAACTTGGCGCTGCAGATGAATGTCCTACGAATAGTTAGCAAATATTGTACCGATTAAAGGCTGGGGCGAAACATACGATCCCTTGCCCTTCTCACTACTAGCGGACATTCGCCCCCCGTGAAGTTCGACCAGCTGTCTTGAAATCACCAGCCCTAAACCACTGCCACCATGTGCCCTCGTACTAGACCCGTCAATTTGGCTGAAAGGCTTAAACATTAACTCTTCATCTTTCTTATCAAATCCTGGGCCAGTGTCGTGGCACTCAAATTGCAGCATAACATCATCATCTCCGATTTTATCATCTTGGATAACAGAGCACCTAGAGAACACTTCACCCTTGGACGTGAATTTTATAGCGTTCTGAAATCACCACAAAGAGGGTTAGCTAATCATGCCTCATAGGAAAAAGGTTTTCCTAACCAAGGCGGCGGTGCCAACTTACGCCAATGACATTCAAAAGCACTTGTCTCAGCCGCACACGATCTCCGCACACGACAGGCGGCACATCTTCTTCGACGATAAAATTCAACTCTAGATCCTTCGCTATTGCCATGGTACTCAAAAGCTCATTGGCATCTTCTATCAGGGAATGAATCCTGAACCACTCCGGATTCAATCGCATCATTCCTGCTTCAACCTTTGACAGATCTAGGATATCGTTGATTACGCTGAGCAATCCATCAGAGCTCTGGGATATTGTGTGGCAGTAGTCTAACTGCTCCCCATTTAAGGTGGTATCAAGCAAAAAGTTGACCATTCCAGAAATCCCGATAAGAGGAGTTCCTACACATCAGGAAGGATCAGCAATGCCGAATTTACTGCTGCGGGTAGATGATACTCACGAATTTCATGACTCATATTAGCCAAGAACCTAGTCTTACTCTCCATCGTCTTCTGCGCTGCCTCATTCGCCTCTTTTAACTTTTGCTCTAGTAACTTGTGATCGTTGATATCGGTACAGGTACCGAACCACTGGCCTTCTCCCGTTCCAAAGTTTGTCTCAACACTAACGCATCTCACCAAATGCCACCTATAGTTTCCATGCTTGTCCCTCAGGCGCAGCTCGGTTGAAAATGTGGGCTTCTCCTCCTCGATGTCTACTCCAGTCGGATCCTTGAAGCCACCATCATATGCGGAAGACCCGTACGAGTTAGGCGAGAACCCGGAAGTCTCAAAGCCTGGACTGGCTATGTCACCACCAGGGCTCACTGATCGCGGACTTACTGAACCGCCTCCACCAGCCAGGCCCGGTAATGCACACTTGTATCTATCATTGGGATGGACGTGTTCCATAAAGCCCAATCTTAACGCCTGTGCTAGCGTCTGTCCAGAATATCCCAACCATTGGGTGTTTGCATATGAGATGCCGTCGACGGCCGTAGCAGCAAACACGATTTGCGGGCTTGAGTTGGCAAGGGACCTATATTTACTTTCTGATTCTGCCATTTCCGCCTGCCTTGCCGCGTCCACCTCTGCAATCCGCTGATCATGGATGTCCATATTTGTGCCAAACCAGTGAACAATGATACCACGAGAATCACGCAACGGGACTGCCCGGATCATGAACCACCGGTAGACACCATCAAACCTGCGAACACGAACCTGATGAGAAAAGGGCTCGCCCTTGCGCACAGCGATCCCCCAGCGTTTGATGTAATCCTCCCGATCATCTGGATGAAAGGCCTCCCATGGCCCTTTCATAAACTCATCAACGGTAGCGCCTCTATAAGCTAGCATCCTGGCATTCACCCAGGTGGTTTCGCCGGTGTAGGGAGCCGCAGTAAATACATGTACGGGGATAGAGTCAATGATTGTCCTAAGAAGCTTGTTAGACGGAGGGGGCATCTGATGATTCTGTGAAGTTGCGCCTGCTGTAGACATCCTGGTTGATCCACGCCTTCCTGTTCCCAGCGGTGTTCCAGGCAACGAAGTCGTTGCAGCCAGCGATTGGAAAGTGGCAGAGTAATCTGCTCCGTATGAGTGTAGCAGGGTATGCGGATAATTGTGGCCCACGATTTTGAGCGCAGGCTTCCTTTTCCTTGGGAAACGGCGTCGATTCGGTGCCGATTCTGATCCCGGTGACACCGAGGGCGACTCCACAGTTCCACTGCTCTGGCTTCCAAGGTCTTCCAACACTGGTGTCTTTTCCGAGTCTGCCAGGTCCTTCAGGACATGATCCGGCAGTGGCGAGCTCCTGGGTATTTCCCTCTTATGCGTGATGGCGCCCTGTTCTCCCTTCTTAAACTTGACCGTCCCGGCCGAGCTAGCGCCTTCGTCCTCCTCCATCTGCAACTGCACTTCCAAACTTACCGTTGAGCCCTCGATTTTAGTTGTTGCCATCGCTGCTGCTGCTGCCGCTCGAATACTAGCATAGGTCGGAATATTACCACTGTTTTGTCTACTAAAAATCTTTCTCTTTTCGCGGGGAGGCTGAAAGTACCCTTCCAGATTTTCACCCCCGGGACTAACCGGCGTACTAGCCTGAGACCTAATGCTCTCCTGGTCACTCCCTTGTTGTCTCGGTCCTCCTAATCCTCCAATATCCCATCCCGGACTGGCGACTCTCGATGTGCTGTCTTTGGACATTGTGCTGAGCTCGCTGGGACTGGTGACACTAGCGCCTTCGACAATATCTGGTGATTTCAGCCCATATCTCAAAGATGAATGCAGACCAGAATCAATATCGGGTGCGTGTCTTCTCAAAGGTCGTCTATATTGTAAATGACTTAACTGATTCACAACGTTCGAGTGGTTCTGTGCTAGTGAGAAGGCTGTGGCTGCTAGAGGCGCAAAATGGGACAATGAGTGAATAAGGTTTCTAGGGTAAGGGATAACAGGGCTCAGCATAGATAATATCGCTATAGGGGATTTTTTGTGTCCTGCCATGTTGTGCCTGGAAAGGATATCGTTATTTGGCAAGCCGAAGCTTCCCCTGAAAGGAGATTCACCCCCACTAGTAGAAGTCGCGGTTCCCCCACCGGCTGCCGCAGAAGCTGAGGGATTTAGTGACTTTGAAAAGCTTGGGTGTATGAGTGGAATGTGGATTACTGTCCAGGCACTCTCGAATCCAATTGCATTTACGGGTTCCTGTGCTGAGTATACTGGGCTGTTGGACTGTGGGTTAAATGTCTCCTCGTCCACTTTTGGCGGGGCAAAAAATGGGTTCTCGGTGGGGTCCTGCTTCGGCGCCGGCGAAGGAGCTGGGGATTGGCTCCACGGCGACGTCAGGGCTTGTTCATATTCTTCATACGAGGAAGCCCTGTCGAGACCTTGTGAGTGATTTGAGACATTTTGCAAATGTTGCTGCGCGGAATATAATTGCATCATAGGGTTGTGGGTACGATACCCGTCCTTCTGCGCACTCTTCTTCTTCCGACGCATCCCCTTCCCCACAAGATACAGCGGTGTCGGCGGCTGCGAGGACAGCTGCAATGGTGAACTGATTGAGCTGAGATCTAGCTTTTCTACCCCTTGAATCGATGCCTGTTCGGGGATCGATCCCTTCTTTGGTTTAGGGCGCTGTTCGTTAGAAAATGCTCGGGACGGGGAAGACTTTGGGGTGTTAGCAGCCACGAATTCTGCTTCTCGCCGGCGCTTGTCCCTCTCTTCAAGGTGTGTTTTGATATCTCTATATTCTCGCCCTAAAACAACAACTTTTCCTCTCTGCAAGACCCTACTAACACCAGTTCCATCCAGCAAAGCATCCGCCTCATAGTTCAGCGGCTGCAGAGTCGGAAACACCCTCCCACGCTGCTCATCCTCCTCTATTCCCTGAGCATATGCCATATTCTGTTTCTGGCGCCCAAACTCCGGGGGCAATGGTGGTGGCTGTGGGGGTTCTAATGGAGATAGGCCACTCGTCTCTGAGAGCCAATCGGAATTGTTTGCATCCTCGCTGTGGGGGTCTGATGGGCCAATAGTAACTGGGGCAAAAGGTTCATCTGAATTTCTCTCAAGCTGTATAGGCTCGGTATTGTCCTCATCCGGATCACACATGCCACCAAAGAAGCCACCTTCCATCCTCCCGTTCATATCCATTGTGTTATTTCTTTCTTTTGGAATCGGAACACTATGGTTTCCGTCACTGTCCTCCCCCATAGACGCTTCCTCCTGGTCACCCACGAATCCCCGCTCATCGCCCATATATGTCAACGACAAACAGTCGTCCTCGGCTACGTTAAATGTTGCTTTTTGCCCCCATGGGGTATTTTCGAGATCTGTAGAATCTGATGGCACTGCAAGAGTAACTCTCTCCGCCTTATAGCACGTCGTGGCAATCTTTACAATATTGCTCCAAAAGGCATCGATACCGGCCTCAGAATGAAGCAGCAGAGCAAGATCGTACATGTTTGGGGTTGGGAAATCGGGGTTCTCAAAGGGGGTAATTGGTTGGGTACCTTGAGGCTGAAAAGCAAACGACGCCGGCGTAGTAGTACCGGACGGAAGGATCCTGTCATGTGGTCCCATCCCAGGGGACATTGTCGTGTTGAACGCCGTGGCTACACTGTTCCCCGTAAGGCTCCTAGGCATCTGCGGGAATGGGTACGATGATGTTGCTGAGATGGATGATTCCTGCTGTTTCGACTTTGTAGCCGCTGCTGCGGCGGTGTTGCTGTTATTCTTCGCCCCAGCAGCAGGAGATCTGCCCATGTCTCCGCCGGCACGGTTTTCCTTTGGCGTTGGGGGCGACCCTGGCGACGAAGCGGTGATGGTCTGGTCTAGGCGGCTCTTCTTGCGATTCCGGGCCTGAGAGCGTATCACAGCCTTCCGAGAAATTAACATCGCAAACAATCGAGAGACCAGCAACCCGGCCGTGAGCAATGAGAACAGCAGTAACAGGAGGGTTGCCGGAGGAGGAGGATTCGACAGCAGGAGGTATACCTCTTTCAAGCTCTCGATCTGTGCAGCACCAGGTCCGTTGTTTCGGTTGCCATAGGCACCACCACCAGCAGCATCCCCACCAACATTATTAACCCCACCACCAATCACCCCTCCTCCAGGACCTCGACTACTACTACTTCCCGTACCACCAGCTTTGTTCGACGACGAAGACGATTGCATTGAATTTTGGGCATTTGTTTGGATATTTCGTGGGAATACAGTCTTTGGATACGCGGGTGGCGACGCAGGCGGCGATCTCATGGCGGGTGGTTTCCCCCCTCTTTTTGTTTTGTTTTCTTTATTTCTCCTTCTCCTGGCGTTGTTGTCTTGCGCGGGGGGAGGCGTGCTGTGTGTTTGTTGCAACTAGGTGGTACTTCCACTTCTCTTCTCTCTTTCTGGGAAGATATGACGTCGGTAACTACCGGCAGATTGACAGCGACATTAAAATAACAAATAAAATAAGACTGTTTGTTTCTCTTTTTATCTGGCCCAAAAAAGAAGTGATTAAGACAGCTTTTCTCTTTTTTTTTTCTCTCTCTCTTTTTGGTTTTGCGTACTGCACAGGGGGGGGAGTAGTAGTAAGTAGTAGTGAGTAGTAGTAGTGACGACTATTCCGGTCAGCCAAAGGGTGGGCGGTAGCAGTAATAGTAGTAGCAGTAGTAGTCGGCGGGTGTGGGTGCGGTAGATAGGTAGTGGTAGTAGAAGAAAAAAAAGGTATGTAGTAAGTATCTGGTTTACCGGTTACCAACTTCCTGTTGCAAGCAAAGGCACACAGGCACACACACACAAGAAAAAAAAGGAGAACGAGAGGGAAAGAGAGGAGGAAAGGAAAAAGAATTCCCGCAAAAAGAAAAAAAAAAAAAAAGGGTTCCGTGCAAACGGGTAGGGAGCAGAGCAGAGCAGAGAGGCCAGAGAGAAAGAGAGAGATGTATGTTGTTGTTGACGGCGATGACGGGGGTGGCGGGTTTTTTGTGTGAGAGGAGCGTTAAAAAAGGGAAAGTAAAAAAAAAAAAACTAGGGTATGGCTGGGGAGGGGGGTGATGATGATGATGATGATGGGTTGGATGGATCTAGCTGGGCAGGGCAGGGCAGGCAAGGACCGGCAAGGGCAAATTGATATAAACTGTTCTGGTCTTCCTTCGGTCTCTCTCTCCAGATCCCCTATTGTCCTCTGCTTTCCTTACAACTCAAGCTGATGCTCGGTATATCCTCTTTGTTTCTTTTGCCCTTTTTTTGCCTTCCTAGCTAGCTAGGCTGCTCCCCTGGATATAATCCCTTCTGTACAAAAATAGGATAGATATAGATAAGGGGGTGGGTATTAATGGGAAGTATACGTGGGAGGGCAGTGGTAGAGAGGATTGAAGGATTGAAGGATTGAAAGATTGAAGGATTGAAGGAAAACGAAGACCTCAATTAAGTGAAAACGAGAAGGGGAGGGGTAGCGAGAGGGTCGAAGTCGAAGGGAAGGGGGGGAGGTTTTTTACCAGTCAAGAAGATCAATAATATTCGAATCGATTGTTTTTCTTCCTCGACCCAGCTTCCGGATATCGATAGATGTATATTACCAAACCCCACTGACCTGAACCACCAGAAATTGTTTTTTCTTCTTTCTTTTCTTCTATCGATGGAGAGAAGAATTATACCAGTACCGGTTTTCCTTTTTTTCTGGTAGGAAAGAAAGAGAGAGGGGATCGATGGGATGGGAATGGGTAGTAAAAGGTAGTAAGGTAGTAGTAGTAGCAGCTAAGTACTTACACGTATGTATGTAGGTAGATTTGGGGGGGGGGGGGGGGGGGTTGCGGTGCGCGCACGCAGCAGCAGCAGGCAATCAATCAAGCAGGCAGACAAGGGATCGAATCTTGAATTGGTGGTTTGTGGACGACGGTAGAAAAAGGAACCTGAGGCGGGTGCGGACCGGTGATGCAGCGGCGGGAAAAGGTTGTTATGAAAGGCCAACAAAAAAAATGAAAAAAGAGAAGGCACAATTCACAGGTAGATTCAGAGAGACAGAGAAAGAATGCTTCCCAGCAGTACCAACTCCGTGAAAGGAAGGAAGGGGGCGTTGGTGGGAGGAGGGGGAAAGAAGAGTCGAAAGGAAGAGGAAAAAAATTAGGACTTGCAAAACGAAATCACTTTTCTTTCTTTCTTTTCTTTCTTTCTTTCTTTCTTTCTCTCTTTCGTTCTCTTCACACGCGCGCACGCAAGCAAGCACACTAGGCAGGTCCAGAGATGGAATGGATGGATGGACAGATGGGGGGGGGGACCTTGGTGCAAAGTTCCTCCAAAAAGAAAAAAAGAAAAACAAATACGTCAAACGCAAATGCAAACGAGGGTTCTGGCTGCAAAAACTTCCCTGTGGGCAAGAAAAAAAATACTACCTAGCTAGGCGAAAAAGCCCCGGGACTTCTCTCTTTTGGGGGGGGGGGAGGGGATGGGGATATCGGGTGGTGTATACCTAATACGCTGGATAGATGAAGCGGAAGAGGATTGGGAAGGGGGGTGGGTATATTACGGTAGAAAGAGAGAGGTTTGTCAGGTAGTTAGCTGCTCTGTCTTTTTCTTTCGATGAGGTTGTGGAGGCGGAGGGGGCAGGTTTGTGTGGAGAGCTAGCTAGGTAGTGGTTTGTAGGCAAGTAGGTCCAGAGGGCTGCAGCAGAGAGTCCTGACAAAAGTCCTGGCTGGACACTGAGGATCCCTATTCAACCTGTGCTGTGTGCTGTGCTCTGCCTTCCTCCTATTCCTATGTATGTGGTGTGTGGATTATGTAGATACGCAGGATAAAGAGGTATCTGTACGTTGTGGAGCTGCTGCTGTCGTTCGAAAGAGAGGTAGATAGTAAACAGATAGGTACGGATTGTATCCAGAGTCACACTTTTGCAATAAGTGTAAGTAATAGTGTGTATGTGTATGTATGTGCGACAGGATTGATGGTAGCAAAAGAACCAAAAGGGTCGCGAGATTCGAAGCAGAGCGTTCTGTGCTGCCTGCCTCAAGTACCTACCTGCCTGCCTTCTGCAAAGCGCCTCCCTCCCTCGCTCCCCTCCACACGGGAGGAAAGGGACTTGCAAACAGGGATGCACATCAAGATCCAGTCCGGGGCCTGGGAAAACGAACAGAGAAAAAAGAAGATTAAGCAGCAACCGACGTCATTCCGCAGGGTCCTACTCTATTTTGTGCCTAGTGGGAACACGCCATTGGGGGGTGGGAGGGGGGTTGGAGGGGAGGGAGAGTGGGAGAGTGGGAGAGGCTGGCCAACTTGCAGGGTAACCACCTGACTTCTCGATTGAGAGATACCTAGATAACTACTAGCGTCATAGGCAGCAGACAACACCTGTCCTTGAAAGACAGAGGGGGATGGATGGGATATCCAGCCAGGATTGATGGATGGATGGATGGATGGATGGATGGATGGGCCATGATGGGCAAAATTTCGAGAGGTTAATTCGTTGGATGCAGAGTGAAATTGGGCCCCGTAGACTCGCAATGTAGAGCTGATGATTGAATAAAATACATTATTTTAGCTAACTGTTTCTACCCATGACTGTCTGAATCGTTTCATGCTTCCCGAAATACAGCTCAAGAATGGCATCTCCAGCCAATTCCATCGACGTAGGTTAGATATCGTGCCTTAGTCGAAACTCTACTAGTAAAAGTACTGCTTGCTTGCCTAATGCTCTACAACTTTGAGTGTAGAGTCGTTAATTAGTTGGGTAAGAGGAGCATGGTGCCTGTACCTATCTCTGGAAGGAATTAAGAAAACCTCGAGATGCCGTCGCTAGCTAGCTATGAATTAAAAAGGCAACCTCCATCCACCACCACCCCCCGCACCTCAACCCCCCAGGCCCTGTGTCTCATCACGGTGTCGAACCTGTTTCCACCCGACCGGCCCCCCGCTTCTGTCTCCTTTGCTAGAATGAAAAACCGATCACGATCATCGATCGAGAGATTACTTACCGTACCAGCGTATGTAACTCTTCTCAACCTACCGTCCACCAGTGTCCGTCAGTCAGTCCTCTTTTTTTTCTTTCTTCCTTTAACCTGCTTATGCACGTTCCATAGCCTATTTTATCTATATATGCGGTGAGTTATGATTGTGGTTGTGGTGTTTGTGGTGGTGGTTGTGGAGGAGGTGGTGGTGGTGGTGGTGGTGGTGCGTAGGTCCAGGTCAATTAAATGCAAGCCTGTGTTTGTAGCTATCGTAGGGCTCGAATCAATGCCAGCTACATGTAGGTAGAGTAGGTATGTATGTACTGTATGTACCGTGCTCTACTAGAGCCGCATTTCCCCAAAAGCATTAACCGTACCCGCAATTTCGCAAAGACTTTTTTTCAGCCTCTGACGTTGGTCTGGCTTGCCCGGCTGGCATGCTGGTCCGCACACACATAGCACCTCGGTAATGAAACGGTCAGGGAGGCTTGCGCGGAACGCCCCGTACGTACTTCTACTCTGGGCTGCTGTCCTTAGTAAAGTATGAATACTCAAATCTCGTGACGAGTGTGGCTGTTTCTGCTTCTGTACCTTACTGACTAACTACTCTGTGTGTGTGCCCTCGGATTGGACTGACCCATGGGCTCTGAGGGGACGGACACGATACGATACCGACAGGGAGCGGGAGAAGTAACCCGAGCCAAACCACATCAAAGGTACACTCGTACAAAGAAGCCTTAACGACAACTCGGATATCAACCGCAGAGAGCAGTACTCCAGAGTAGAGCAGAGCAGATAGCTGGCCATCCCCGGAAATTGTTTCCCAGGGCAATTTAAGGACCATATCTTATTTATCAACGCCTACTCTGTCTGTTCTACTTACATCCCCTGCTCTCTAGATCTGCACACTGCACTGCACTGCACTATCTTCGTTATCTCCACAGCCAGCAGCAGCAACCCCCACTCTGACTTTAGCCACACCAACGTCTGTACCTCCCCCCCCCGCCAGCAAGCCTCAATTGTGCAACGGCTAGTTAATTAATTACCAGCACGCGGGTAGAGCAGATATCATATCTTTTTGACCACCTAGCCGGGTCCTGCTCTATCTACAAGGACGGCCTGGCAAACTGATCGTCGAGCAAAGCAATTGTTTATTATCACTATTATTACTCTAGCTATATGCACGGATGGACCCTATGTCGTCAGTCGCACGTAACAACACGTTTTGAAATCTAGAGCATGTAGCCAAGTTACCACAATCCGGATCCCAGCCAAAGTGCACATTTCTCTTTTGGGGAATAACCGGGGGATGGGTTTCACAAGCAAAGAAAACACCAAAGCAAAAGTAACAACTCACAAAGGGATCTATCTAGAGGTGCATCAATATCATCAACCCCGCCGCCTCACCTCACCAACCCCAAATTGGCTGGAATACCTGCCGCCGTCGGCGGCCGTCCATCCGGGCGTACGGTACTCCTTCTCTTTCCTGAGCATGCTTTCGGTCTTTTTGCGCTCTGCGGCTTCGCGCTCGTCGCGCTCGCGGCGCAGTTTGGCCATTGTGTCTTCTTTTGCTTCTGCTTGGCGGGATCTCGAGGGGCGGTGGTGGGATGTAGTTGTGGTGCTGTCGTGACGGCGAGAGGAGTCGTGCTTGCGTGAGTGGTGCATGTGATGCCCGCTTCTGTCTCTGCTGCGGCTACGGCTTTTATGCCTATGCCTATCCCTACTGCGACTACGGCTTCTATGCCTATGTCTATCCCTATGCCTATCTTTGTCGTGTTGGCCTCTATCAGGGCTCGCGCTCCTACTCCTATCTCTCTTTCTCTCCCTGACTGTATTCACACCCCTCTTCTCCCTCTTCTCCCTCTCCAACATCTCCAACACACCCGCCCCCACCCCAGCCTCCCTTTCCCGTCCCCTCCTCCACTCCCTCCTCTCCTCTTCCACCTCCCTCACACCCTTCACCCCCCGCCTCACTATCGCCAATGGATCTCCCCAGTCCTTCCTTTTCTCCTCCCGCTTCTCCTCCCACTCTGTCTTCTTCTTCTTTCCCTCATCCTCTCCGTCAAGCGTTGAGTACCACGGCCGTCGCTCATCCCCTACCCGCCCTAGCCCATTGGTAACCGGCCCCTCTCGCGCCTTACGCTCTGCCTCGTGCTCGGCGTTTTTCTCGGCGACTTTGGGTGGGGCTCCAAAGAGGTTGATGTGTCCGTCGGCGCCTATGAGATCTGGCTCGGTCTTGCGCTGGGCTTTGTCGGGCTGCCTACTATCCTCGGGCACAGTGAAGTCTCCACGGTCCCTTCTCTTACTGCTACCCCCTGTAGACCCTCCTGTCACTGCCGTTGCCACTTCTTCTTCACGAGGAGGTGGGGGAGGCGCACGCCCCTCGGCGCGCGCGCGGAGAACACTTATGCGGTGCTCTGCGTCGGCCTCCTGCATGCGCTGCTCTCTAGCCTCTTCGGCGGCGCGAGCGGCGGCCTCGTCCTGGCGGACGCGCTCAATGTTTTTTGTGGAGTATACATGGTAGGATTTGTGTTGGAGGAGGTTCAGCGGCATCTATGTGAGTATGGGTGGGTGTGGGGGGTGATTGTGGTAGACTTGGTAGACTGTGAGAAGGTTATGAAACTTCGATCCAAGTGATGTCACGTGACTGGGTGTGGAAATGTTGAGTAAATTCAGTCCGAGTGATGCCCTGTGAGTGAGTGCTGAGTGTGTTGTGATGATTCGTGATGTTTATGGTTGTGGTTGTGGAGACTCTGAGCAGCGGCGTTGATGGATGACGTTGAGGACCAATGCGGACTAGCCAGCCAGCAGGTAGAGTAGACGAGATGCAGGTTAGTGTGGGGTCAGGGCCGGGGCTGATGAGCTCAGGGTGGCTAACCACGATGGAGCAAAGTATGGCTGAGACCTAGCTTGACCGCACGGGGGAAAGATGGGTGGATGGGTGGATGGATGGATGGATCGATGGACGGGTGTGTGGTGGATGGGTGGGAGAAGAAGGTGTCAGAGGGGTGCCAGTGTTCTCTCCTCTTTCTGGAACGCCAACGGACTGTGGGCCAATGATGTCATTTCCTACGAACCCCCCTCACCCATACACATACATACATAAAACCTTTGCCCCCCGCCTAACCACAGCAGCAACCGATGCAAAACCGTTGACAGCTGCCTACTGTACTCCAACTAACCAGCTCACAGGCCAGTCACACTCACAGCCAACCACAGCAAGATGCCTTCCTTGGCTGTTATAAGCTTTCGATCCTCTTCTTCGTCGTCTTCTTCTTCTTACGGAGAACCGTCTAGAAAGTACTACATACCAGCAATCGATCATGCGCGTCACTATAGAGTAACTCGTACTCTGCCTACTGACTGATATACATGGGTGATTTTGATGAAAGCATAAACCGCTTATCCGGCAGCGCCGGTGCTCGCGCGCCAACATGATAATCGATTCTGAACCACCACCGGCACCATAAACAATCCACCCCCCACGATCCATCCTCCATCCCCCCTGCGCAGACCTCTCACTCACTCAAGGTCTCACACCACGGCCCGCTAACGCAGCCTCCGACCGCAACGGTATTCTGCCCGCACACACACACTTCCTCACACACACACGGCGGATACAGATGCCTGGGGGAGAGGGAGGGAGGGAGGGTATCTTTTTTTTCTTCTCGACACAATAAGTATTTAAACCTAGTTGTGACTTTGGAGTGTATGACAATATGCGACCTGACGACATACACGCTGTTTTTCTATGAGCTGGCTCGGTAGTTGTGGGCTTTTACCCTTTGATAATGACGACGGCGGTGTTTGAGGTGTGTACTAGTAAAGTACTTTTAAGGCCATGGGACATGGGGCGGTGGTGGTCGTGGTCGTGGTGGTGGGTTGTAGATCATGTGATTGATCATTTTTATATCCGTGATGATGATGATGATGATGATGATGATGAGAAGAGAGGAACTCGAGGGCATGAAACACGTGTACTCTACCTACCTGTATGTACTGGAAGGAGAAGAGAAAAAGTGACAACCTCGACAGCACCGACACTGACATCGCGAGATTCAATTCACAGTTGCAGTTGCAGTTACAATTATGTAACCATGCCCCATGGCCATCCCTCCAAAGCGGTCGGTGGTGGTCTACACAGAGCCACACAAAAAAAAAGAACAAGAAACCAAACCCTCCCCATGCAGAAAGAGTCCCTGCATCCCCTCCACTACCATGCGGCTCTGTCTGCCTGTCTGTGCCCCCATGACATCATCGACAACGACAACCTTGTGCGTGCAGCAGCAGCGGGACTTTCCGAGCTCCGAAGGTTGGGGCGATCGGAAAACACGTCCCTAATTTAAACAAAACCACCACCCAGCCAAGTTTTTTTTTCCAACTCTTCGTTTCTCTAAGCTTCTTTACCGTTCCTTCCCTTCTCTGCGGTGATGGGTTCGAACTGTCACGCGCAAAGTATGGGGGCGAGCGAGTTAGATGCTATGCCATGGCAGGTAGAGCTCATCTCTTTCCCTCTTCTCTTCTCTCCTGCTTGTTGCCTTCCCTCCCGTGGCAGGCGGGCGGGCGGAAAGAATCAGAGGGTTGTGAAAAAAACAAATAAGAATGAAACATGGCCAATGATCGGGCTGGAAATGACACACACCCCCCACTATGCAGCCAGAAAGGCAAGCAAGCTGGCTTGGCCAGTGTTCCTGCGTCGCGTTCGGGGCTTTTTTGTTTTGTTTTGTGATGGCGAGGAGAGTGCCTTGCATCCTACAATACGTAGGTGTTTATCTATTCGCAATGTGCTGTCTGGTTATCCGGTCTGTGCGGAGGCTCTTAAGTCTCGTAGAGCACATGTATCTACTGGTATCTACTACATTCGCACTGTATGTAGTTATCAAAGTAGACAGAGCGCCGGTTTCGGCAGGTAATACTAATACTGTAGGATTTGTTAATATCCTCACGGGAGACGTCATGTGCTTTCTAAACGCATTTCTAAGGCAGAGTTGCTTGATCTGCTTGCTTGACTGCGGTGCAACAAATATCAATCACCTTTTTTTTTCATGTCCTCCTGGGTCACGTTCGTCGCCGAATTTGGGCTGTTGGAAAAAAAAAAGGTCCCGGGAAAATGATACTGCCAGTCAGCTGCATGAGGATTGGCATGAGCCAATGACCAGACATAGCATTCTCACGATGAATTATCCACGAAACCCTAACCCACTACATACTCGACCTACTCTAGGCTACAGGACCTTTTCTCTTCACTTCGGCCGAACTCAACACGTACGACGTGCAAATGCAAGGCAAGTGCAAGGCAAGGCAAGGCAAAAAGAAAAACACCAAGGGAGGTGGGAGAGGCGCCGTTTATCGCGGCCGCGGAAGAGAGAGAAAAAAAATTCTACTATGTACCGCTGCAGACTGCCCAACAGGTTGGAAAATGCCCGAGGATCGTGTACCGGATGTGGGATAGGGCAGGACTCAACGTTATTTAACCTACAAGGCTAGATGTGCTCGTAGCTAGGGAGGTGGGTTAGGCCAGGGTGCAACGCATCGAGATTGAGATTCGATGGGCCCTGGCTGGGTACGGGTGATGCTAAAATCCGCCAACCGCGTGTGGGCTTACGGGCTTGTTTAGTGTCAGTTCTTGTTTCAACCTCCTCGTTGATTGTAGAGTAGCTGGGCTTGGGCTGGACGGAGAGAGGGAGGACTGGTTGGGGTTGTGGTATGTTGTTACTTATTGATTGGGAGATATATCGACATGGTCTGAGTAGAAGGGTATACGTAGAGAAGTTTTGTGTTTGTTTTGTTTTCATATACCTACATACTCTAATGTTTTGTTTCTATGGAACTAGTTGACTACTAGATCCATAGAGCACCTACTAATCCGTTCACTAGTTAGAACTTAGCGTTCTACTAGCTAAGAGCAAACCACCACCCAGCTAGGTTCCCAAGAAGCTTCGAAAAGTAGCTTCGTGATCACCAGAACCGGTGTTTCATAACTCTATAAACCAGCCTAGCTAGATACCATGGACATACGCGGCCAGCCAGTAGAACTTAAAATAGAGCACTTCCGTGCAAAGTGTACTTCGGGGGTTAGGAGATATTACGTACATGTATGTATCTAGTTAGATCTATAGACATATATTGGCAGAGGAAAAAAAATCTGTATCACACGCATGATATATATCTACCCTGATATGATGCCTTGATGCCCTGCTTGCTTGCTTGAGGTGCAGTATCTCATCTAGTCTCGTACCCAGCTAGATTGATTCTTTCTGCACAAAGAGTGACACGAACAAAGTCTGGGAATGAGACTAGTTATATCTTCATCCCCAGCCAACGCTTGATTTTTAAAAACCCGTTTCCAGGAGACACAAGTCATCCATGAGTAGCACAGTCCGAAAACGTTTCCAAGCTCAACCACACGACACTGCAGGAGCTCGCTCGATCGAGTAACACTCACATACTCACTGCAAACACGGCATTAAAACCCAATCAAAGCCGCTTTCAGCTCTGTGGATAGTATGGGGCAGTAGCGTTACATACTTGCACAACACCTCTCACTCTCTCTTTCTCTCGTCAGCACTGATGTAGAGTACATTCTACGTATACGTAGCAGTAGCTCATGATCAGTAGCACTTGTACTTGCACAACAACACCTCTCTGTCTCCTCTCTCGTTAGTACCGCTATATTTAATTCCTGTTTTTTCCTCTTCCTTCCCCTCCCTAGCTTTCTGTCACACTCTCTAAGCGATTGCGTTCCGGAAATCTTGTTTTTATATGCTGTGCGCGCAAATCAAAAAGCATATATCTGTTCCTCCCCCCCTAGCCAGCAAACCAGCCGACCCATTGGTTGACTCTCCCCCCCAACCCCCAACGGCTCTGGTCTGCAGCTGGCAATGCATGATAGGGCTGCAATCATGTACGTACATACGTAGATTCAGCTGTCATCAGCCCCGGAAGGCGCTCCGTGTACGTAGGTAGAGTACCTGTGCGCAGCTACCCTGTTCGATATCCTGCCGGCTGTTTTATCGAGATGTGCGGTCACTGCTTCTGGAGTAGCTGTGTAATGTAGGTACCTACTCAGGCAGCGAAGAATCATGAGGCGGGGGGTGGGGGGGGCGCCGGTGGTAAACATTAGAGGAGGGGTTGAGTGCAGTTTCGCAGTTTGGCTGGCGTGGAAGTGCAGTTCTTACTGCCGGCAGTACTAGGTTTGAGGCCCGAGCCATGGTACTACAGTCATGTACATTATGATGACAGCTGTCTCTTCGGTCAGGGAGGCTGTGGGTTAGGTGATTTTCTCAATAGAGATAATGCCGGAGAATAAGCCGTCATGACATCAACCTAGATCTCAGTGTACATGGCAGCAAGTGATATAATTCATGCCCACGGCCATTTTACTACACCCCGCGGCCGCCGCTACAGTCCTATAAGGGTACGCTCGGGACCGGAAATTGGTACCCTTATAGGGCGTGTACCTTTATAGTAAGCGCTATACTGTGCCCAAAAGACCCAATAAGGTCCGAGAAGTCGCGGTCGTATAGGGCGATTATTCTTATATATAGGAGCTA